GCGACATGTGCAACGAAAGAAATCAATCGCCAAAGGTATACAGATCCAAAACTCACAAAATCTCAGCATCCTTTACTTTATCGTATGCATGCCTTACAGCGTAGCGATGGCATTCATGAGGGATTTTATCAATTTGCACGCCAGAAAGCAGCTTTGCAGCTCGTGATGCAGCAGCCATGAACTCCTTAAGTTCAAAATCTTACGGGAAACACTGAAGACAAAATGAAACCACCCACTTCCTCATCTCGTTTCCGCCAGGCTTCCTTAAGTCTATCCACAGCAGAATTGAATCGCTTTTCGCTCCAACTCTGAGGCGTGAGCAGAGAGCTGCTGGAGGTGTTGGACTGCTCACTGCCATTGGCAGGGGTCGCCGATGTCATGAATTTATCCAGTCCCTAAAAGGCAGACGTGACAAGAAGAAGGACTAAGCCAAACAATAATGCTTACTCCATTTTCTTTCGCATTTGACTCCTCGGATTTCGGTTTTGTCTGCTTCTTCTTCTCTTTCTTATCTGTTTTCTCCTTTTCTTTCTGTTCTTTCTGCTGCTTCTTTTCCTGTTTCTTCCTTTGCTTTTCTACGTCCTTCGATGATGCGTTCGGAGGCAATGCAACACCACTCCTTCTGCCGACAAAAAGCACTAGAGGGGCATCCGAGTCCGAGTCTGAGCTCTTTTCACTGTCAATCTGAAAGATTGAAACTTCCAACTGGTGCAACAGTATATTTCTTTCTCAATAAAGCAATGAAAGCGTCTTTAACACATTCAGGACAACATGACCCACCGGTGGGTCGTATGCTTTCTGGAGTTCTTAGTTTTGCTAGTTTTTAAAAGAAAACTTATTAGGCAGACTGTATAAACTTTTTACATCTCCTAGAATACTCCTCGGAAGAAAACGTCAAACCATAGGACCCATTTGTGGCCAGAAAATATTACGCAAACTCAATATCGCGGAAATGGTCTTGTCGTGAATGTGTCAATACTAACACAAACTAAACTTTAAACTTACAGTGATAATCTCTCTTCCAGTCGTATTCACAATGGTATTTGACGGTTTGCCATGCGATGCAGAGCAGAATATTGGCGCCAGCTTGTCTTTGATATTATATTCTTTCTTGTATGCATCCTCAATCTGAAAGGGAAATCGACATACATAACAATCTTTTTTCAAGCAGGTCCTGCATGTACTAAAGAAAAATAAAAAATAAATCTAACAATAAAAAAGCTAGCTGCATACCTGCCAAGGTTTTCCTTGATCGTGGCTTGCC